TTTTTTTGGTACTGGGTGTTTTTGGTACTGGGGATTGAACTCATGACCTTGTGCTTGCCAGGCAGGCGCTTATTCCACTGAGCTATTTCTCCAGCCCTGTCCTGGAACTAGCCAACAATGAAAAGAATAATGAAGAGGGCAAAATTCAATCAAGACAAGTAATAAAAGAAAGACAAGCGCTTGATGGCTGTAGAGCCCCTAGTCCAGGCCCCCATGGGCCCCAGGACAGCTCCCAGCTTATAAGTGGCTGTAGTGATATGAGTCCCTGACTCCATATCGAGATAGCTGGGTCCTCAGATAGCTGGGTGCAGCCAGAGGGGTGGCTCTGTGAAGGGCCCAGGCATCCTGGTTTACCTAAGAAAAGGTGCATCTGTTGCTCAACCCAAGCTTTCCTTGTCCTTTGCCTCCCCAGGGACACCTTCTGCCTGGTCCTGGGCTGGAGCCTTCAGAAGGCTGGGAGGCAAAGCGCAGCTCAGGACCTGTCCCTTTGCTTGAGGAAACCTCAGCTCCTGACAGTAGCAGGCACCCTGCCCAGACCTGTCCACTGTCCGCGGTGGCTGGGCAGGCTCAGGGAAGGATGCCCCAGTGGCCCGGAGAGCTTCTCCCACTTCTCTGTGGCACTGCCCAATGGCGGCAAAGGGGAGCAGATGACCGTCAGGTGTGGCCAATGTGCCAGAAAGTAAGACTGGCCCTGGCTCTTCTCACCTGTTGGGGCCTCGTGCCAAGGCAGTATGGACCCAGCTAACACCAAGCTGACCCAGTGGTCCTCAGGCTGAGGCCCAGGCCCAGAGCTGAGCTCCCCCGTCAGTGGGAAGGGCTGGGAAGGGTGGCAGAGGCTTCGTCCTCAGCCCACGAGGCTCTTCCTGGCTCTGCTGCCGGAGTGGAACGGGAGGACCCTGAACAGCTACCACCAGCTCTTTGCTTGAGGAAACCTACTCAGGCCAGCTTTACAACCTAACCTTAAATTTGCCCCCAAGTTTGGTGGCTAATTAAACTCTTACCTTGGAGTTTCTTTTCTTCCAAGAGAAGGAAGTGAGGCATTTGGTTAAACCCAAAAGCATTAACTCCCTGTTGGAACTAAGGAATTTTTTAAGACCAAAATCTTGGGCTGGCCTTGAACTCTGTGTAGCCCAGACAGGCCCAAACCCCTGGTCCCCTGCCTCAGTTCCTGACTGCTAGGATTGCAGGTGTGTGCCACTGTGCCCTGGGCCAGGAGCTCTCCCTACCTGTGCGAACTGCAGGTCCTGCAGGAGCCCTGCCTGGGAGTGCGTCTCTGGGCTTCCTTGTGACCTTCCATCAGGATGGTTCGGGAACGGACCAGGACCAGAGGACGTGAGTGTGTGCAGGAGACACTGCTCCCCAGAATCCAAGCGCCTGGTACTTCCCAGGCTGTGCGTCCGGGCACACTCAGTGGGACGTGAATGGAAATGATGGGGCTGTCCAGGCCTTGCCCAGCAACGTCTGGCAGAAGCCAAACACCCTCTGTTTTCCTGTCAGGACTGTTTCGGAAGATTGTAGTCCTTGCGGTGTGACTAGTGGAAGAAGGGCCTAAGTTCTTAACTGTGTTAAGCCACTGAGTGGGGGACATTTATTACCACAGTGTGGCCTACCTTGTCCTGACTCGTAGTGATATGAGTCAGAAGCTTACTGTCCCGAGGATGCAAGGAACAAAGAACAGAGCCTAAGGAAGCTGGCTCCTTGAAATCCGGCAAGCTGGAGACAAGGTAGTAGCAGATTCCTGGGGCAGGCCCTGTCTGTTCTTTGTTCCTTTACCTGGGAGGTTACCAGCTGGTGATACATAAATGTAAGTAACAGCTTGCTGACACCAATTGGTTATGCACGTTCCTTAGCCGCTTTGTAGCCCTCAATCAACGAGGCTCTGGCTCTGGGCTCACTTAAAGAGAGACTAATCTCAGCGAGACCTCTGAAGCTATATTAATCCGGTCCTCTTGTTGTTTCTTTTGGCTCCAGCTGATAACATACAACACTGACTGGTACAAAGCACCCCTAGGAGTCCCACCAGGGCGCCTACCTTGAGGTGACTGTCAGAGAGCTGGACCTTGTCACACATTTCCTGGAAGAGCTTTGTGCCTCGCTGGTCCAGGAGCACACAGACAAACACCCCGCGTTTGTTGGCTGCCTCTAGAATGTCACAGAGGACCTCCACATCCGTGAACACATCCATCAAGATGGCCAGGACCTGGGCCGGGCAGAAGGCTGCGTCACCAGGAAGCCAGGACCAGAGCTGGTGGGCTTAGGAATGTTCCCTGGGGTCCTGCGTGAGCTGGGGCATCTGACTGGGCCCGGTTCTAGCAGGCCCGGGAGCCTGGGGTCCCGGCCCACCTGCCCCAGCTCCTCTGCCTTGCTGGTGTCCACAGGCAGAGTAGGGGGTGGCAGAGCAGGGGCGAAGAGGACAGAGAAGTGCAGAGATGGCAGGAGAAGGTGGGGTCTGCCCTGGGCACAAAGGAGAGGGAGAAACGGGCATCCCAATTCCTCAGCCGTGTGGAGCGAGTGAGGTAATCATAATTTTAAATAAAAGCCTACCCACAAGACCCACCAAGTCCAGGTGGACATGTCTGGCAGGCCCAATAATAAAATACTTCTGGGATGGGCAAGATAGCTCAGCAGACTAAAGTGCCTGCTTAGGCAGGCGCAGGGACCACGGTTCCATCCCCAGCACCACATGCTGTGCTAGCCCCACCCCCAGGGCAGGCTGAGCTGGCCACAGAGTCCCAGAGTAGTGGCGCATGCCTGTAATCCCAGCACTGGGGAGGCTGAAAACAGGAGGATCACTATGAGTCCGAGCTGCGTAGTGAGACCCTGTACCAACCAAATACATTTAAAAAAACAAAAACAGGGGGCCAGGGAAATGGCTCAGTGGAATAAGCGCTTCCCTAGCAAGCACAAGGGTCTGAGTTCAATCCCTGGTTCTGCCAAAAAAAACCCAAAAAAAAGAAACCACTTCTCCCTTTCTGTAAGCCCTCCATGTCTGCTGCCTTTGTGACTGCTGGTCTTGCAGTGTCATCTAAAATGTAACAGGACATGCTTCCTCTGTATATGCTTTGTATGTCACCTGAAATGTTTAAATTCCCTCAGCAGCCCGAGATGCCACCCAGCTCTCCAGTCCAACGTATCGCGTCTGCCTACGTACCTTGCCTTTAAAAGCCCTGAAACTCAGGCCGGGGAGATAGCTCAGTACAATGAGTGCTTGCCTGACAAGCGCGAGGGCCTGAGTTCAATCCCCGGTTCTGAAAAAAAAAAAAAAAAGCCCTGAGACTCCACAGGGCAGGGCTCTGACTGTTTTGGAGAGGTCCTAGTCAGAACCTACCGGTGTAATAAAGTGCCTCCTAGACCTTCTCGGTGCTGTTTTCCCCATGTTCTGTCTGTTTTCTGCAGCACTAGGAGGCGGCCTGTGGTCACTGGTGTCCAAGTGTTGTTAAGCTCTTGAGTCCTTTCACCCAACAAAATCCCATAAATAACCCCTGCTTACCCTCTTATGTTTGGCTGATGAGCTATAGTCCCTGGCACCCATCTCGCTAACCCTTGGTAAGAACTTTTATTTATTTACTT